AGACGAGTGGTCTCTTTTTGAAAAAAAAAAAAAAAAAAAAAAAAAAAAGTTCATTACTACTTTGGTAGAACCAAGTGGTTTTAATCTCCCAATTTAGTTTTTCTAGATTAGGGTAATTCCCACACTAATCCTGTTCCTTAAGAATCTGTAACAATCATAAGGATGCAGCTTGACCAGATTATATAAATAATTATACAAAATACAATAATATCTATCAGAATACATATAAGGGACAACATATAACAAAAATACCACTCGGGAAATGTCTCATTAAAAGAGGATTTCTAAGATACAGAACGTCTTCCACAAGTTGTTATAACTAGATTAATAGCAAACATTTCATTTGAATAATACCAATACTTCACAATGTTTTAATTAACTAATTAGATTAACATTAATAGTTTATCAAGTTTATCAACCTGTTGCAAGGTTAAAAGTTGACAGAGCAATGCACTGCTGCACTGAGTTACAGAACTCTCCCGTAGAAAAAGCTTACACTTACCCAAAAGGTGCTCACTCACATCATCTGGATAGTTACAGACAATGAAAACTTAGTATTATCATTTATCAAATAACTTTAAATGCAAACATCTTTCAACTAGTACCAATATATCTACACACCCAGTGCAGAAGCCAGGCTATGTTCAAAAGCATCAGCACCCTGATAGAAGAAGAAATGCTGCCACAACGCTGGCTTGACAACTTCCTTAGAATATTATTCCTTTTGGATTTAAATTGAGGAGTGGTTTGGTTTCCTTTAATTATGTAACTGAAATGTTGGGTCAATCTAGAAATGACAACAGGAAGACACATCTTCTGAAAAGCTAAATGTCTTTATGGAATTAACTCACATGTGCAGCCAGTGCAAACGGATGGCATCAGCTTAGACAGGTTTAAATAATCACTAATTAGGCTTAGTCAAATTTTGTTCTTAATTCAAATTTTATTCAGCATTTAAATTTATAGTTTAAAAAGTATGCACATTCTGTAGGTATAAAAGTTTAAAAAAATACATCGATTTATCGATAAATGCTTCAGGTTAAATTTACATTTTCATACATTATCATTATATTGCAATAATTGTTTTGCATCTTTTAACAGTTATAAAAAATAAATTAATGAGATTGAATAAACCATTTGAAACCATGCTAAAATAATTCCTTAGAAAAGAGTTTGCCATAGCAATTCCTAATTCCTTGCTACTGTAAATAAATAACTCTTCAATTAAGCAATATAAGGAAGTACGGGTTAGCAGAAAAGCACTTGCCCACAGGGTGAATGGAAAGCCGTGGCAGGATGCCAACATTGTACCAAAAAGACGAAGAGAAATAAGTTCTACCCTGCCAGCTGACAGCACCTCAGCGTTTGACCTCGCAAAACACATAACCCTCTCACCCCCACCTGCCCAAATCGCGGGGGGTGACCGGGGAAGGACAAGGAATGACTCTGCATCACCTCTTGGTTAGAGGGACTACCAAAACATCTCTATGCGACTTGGTAACTATTTTTAATTAAACCAAGAACGTGTTTCCTTAACATGAAATGTTTAATTGCTCACCATAAATGACTAAAGATAAAAGATGGTCTGAGAAGATGGCGATAGCTGAATCTAGTAAGGTCACAGTGAACTGCAATCCCAGCCAAAGTCCCCAGGAGTAACATCACTCAACCTCATGTAACAACTCAGGTTTCCATTTTCGGGAGATTAATTTAAGAAAAAGAGATGAGGGGAAAAAAAAAAAAAAAGAGACGAGGGGGAAAAAAAAAAAAGAGACGAGGGAAAAAAAAAAAAAGACTACGCAGAGAAAAAAGTAACTGCTTTTGTGCAGAATTTGAGTCTTGCATCTCCAGAGCCACAGCCCTTCAGAGAGGGCTCAAACACATCCTAACTACCAGCAGCCAGACAAAGGTACCTCAACAAAAACACATGAGACTCTGGAGAGTTTAAAAGAAAAAAAAAAGTATTGAAACGTCAAGAATAAGCAACAGGTTACAAGGACAAACCAGAAGTATTTTTTGAAAAGTAAGTACCTTCCAGACCTCCTTTATATATGAAAACAACATGGAGGAAAAAACAAACAAACAAAGAAGGGGGAAAAAAAAAAATAGAGAAAGGGTGGGGGGTGTGAGAGAGTGTTAATACTCAACACCTGCAAACCGATGCACCTGCACCACACAAGGTCACTTATATTAATCATTCACCCTGCCTTGTCTCTGGCCATGGTTCTGTGCATAAACCAAATGCTGTGTTACCCAAGGGGTAACTTCATCCTGGCACCACCGAACACGTCTTCCTAGAAACGGGGACGTGCCATAATTCCGAGAGACCTCTCCTTTCCAAAGGTGGCTACAGACACATGCACATTTGTACATAGATATATACAAACAAGGTTAGAAAAATATTTAATTTTTGCTCGTTTAAATAATTACTGAAAAGCGTTAATACAGGAATACATTAATATTTGTACAATTAAAACTTTATATATAAATATTATATATAT